CTATTCCTCCCACTGACACCAATGATGGGACACTATTCCTCCCACTGACACCAATGATGGGACACTATTCCTCCCACTGACACCAATGATGGGGCACTATTCCTCCCACTGATACCAACGATGTGACACTATTCATCCCACTGACATCAGTGATGGGGCACTAGTCCTCCCACTGCAAAATTACAGTTATGAAGTAGCAACGAAAATAATTTTATGGTTGGGGGTCACCACAACATGAGGAACTGTATTAAGGGGTCGCGGCATTATAAAGGTTGAGAACCACTGATCTAGAGGAAGAACACAGATCTCCAGTGAAGGGCTGAACATGTTCTTCGCTGATCTCCTGAATGTCATAAACTGTGAATGACCAGAGAATAGCTGCGATCCTCTGAATCGCAGATATTCTCTGTGTCATAAACGGACACCTATGTCTGTTCTTTTTCAATTTCCTTTAACAGACCAAGTTGACCAGTAAAGTTGGCAGTTGAGACAAACTATTTAAAGGTTCACCTTTAAAACAAAAAATAATAAATGCACATTTTTTGCAGGTAAAAAAATGTGCATTTATTATTTTTTGTTTCTGGAGTCTCTAAAGCATTGCACCAGCGATCAGTAGATCGCCATGTAGCCATGTAGGTCTCTCTCTCTGACCTGTCACTGTATCTGGTTTCTCATACATCCCGTAGATGCAAGTAGATACTTACTGAAAGGAAAGCTCAATCAACTACCATGGTGCTCCACAGTGCTGTCATAGTTAATTGACAGCCATATATATATATAAAATATTTTTTGTTTTTGTGTTTAGTTACACTTTAACAATTATTTATTTATTTGCTTCTGTTTGGTCTCTCAAAGCCCCACTCTAGGATAAAATTCTACCCTTCCACCCCTCCTGACAACCATCCTCTAACTAATTACTATAATAAAAAAAATTTAAAAGCCTTTTTCAAAAAGGATGATTATTCAGGCTCAGGTTTGAACTTTGGACGATTTCTGGAATTGTACTAAAATCCAGAGGATCTGAACTATCCCCAGAACCCCACTGAGGTCTATTGAGATGAGGGAATGTTATTATTTAGTTTGGGCAATTTGTAGAGCTAATAAGCAAGCTATTGTCAAACAAAAGGCACAGAAAGCCATGCAATGCAATGGAGGACCATTGGCAAATGATAAAAAAAAAAAAAAAAAACATACAGTGGAGAGAAGACCTGTTCATGCAGATTTTGGCAACATTGAAAATACACAAATTTTGAAATTACAGGTTTGGCAGATGACCCATCACTGGTTGTTACTGAACTTATTACGTCACATTTGTAACAACAACAAATGTTTTTGACACACTGTTTCAGTCTTGCAGGACACATACACAAAACATTATTATCAAATAAGACATTTTAAAATATTATTCATGTAAGTGATCTACATTTAAATTTTAAAGCCAAATCTATGGGCCTGGTTTCCTTTCAGTGGGGGTTGTGTCCCTGTTGTGGAGATTGTTCTCACATCATGCTCTTTCTTGGTCTGATCACATGGAAAAACATTAGCAAAAACTACCCAATGAGGACTCAGATAGTAAAACAACCTGACAAAGGATGTAACGCTTCCTTACTTTGGTATTATAATTATTATACAATATTTATATAATACCAACAGTTTTGTGCAGCACTTTACAATATAAAGGGAGAGAGTACAGTTAATAAAATACAATAAAATACAAGGTTAAAATACAGGAAGGTAGCTTTTTTTTTTCAGCAGTCCCTGAACTCTCCCTAATGTTTTCCAATGTGTCCATGTACACTATGTCGTTTACAGGCAGTTGAGTTTACAGTCGTTTTATTCAACGCACCAAACTTGCATTCAGGAGTAGAGCGTTTCAAACAGCAAACGCTTGTAAACGCGGCTAACCGCTTGCATTTGGAAAATTATTTTAACTCTTCCATTTCCAGATGCTGTCCAGAGCCTTTTTTTATCATGAAAAATGCATGCAAAGGGTTTTCCCAGTACTCAAATGGACCTGGTACACCATACTTTGAAAGAAAATTTGTTAGACACTGCTGCAATAATTTCTGCACAGAAATGAGCTGGAATACATCCAAACACCACAAAGAAAAAAAAAGCTAATCCCAACAAATACTCCTCTCTCTGCTTCTGCTCTCTCTCTATTTCTCTCAAAATGTCTGAAATAGTTAATTTTTTTACTGTTTATCAGTGCATTCTGGGCATTTTGGAAGGTCTCCTGAGGTTATCTTTAAAAAACGCTGCTAAACGCAAATGCTCATGAACACACATAAACACACATAAACGCGCTATGCAAACGCGGCTAAACAGATTTTTTTTAACCTACATGTTCCAGCAGTCAGTTTTCATCATTCAGAAGTGTTTTCCAAATGTCCCGTGTACATGGAGCCTAATAGGGTGGGGCAAGTGGTGCATATAGTAGGTTATAACTGTGGAGAATGAGCTGATGGAAGAGATAAAAGTTCATGTAGTTGGAGAAGTGATAGGCTTCCCTGAAGAGTTTTCAGGGATTTCCTTAAAGCAGCAGGAGTAGGAGATAGCTAGATAGATTGACATAGAGAGGTCCATAGGATGGGGGAGGCTCTGGAGAAGTCCTGGAGAAAAACATGGGAGGTGGAGACAAGGGAGCTAGGAAGCAGGAGGTCTTGGGAGAAGCAGAGAGGATGGTTTGGTTGATATTTGGAGACAAGATTGTTCATGTAGCTTGGGGGAAAATGTTGTGAATGGCTTTGTATGTTGTTGGTATTTTTAATTTAATTCACTAGGCTATCGGAAGCCAGTGGAGGGATTGGCAGAGAGGGGTGGTAGACACTGTACAGTTGGTAAGGTAGATGATCCTGGCAGCAGCATTCCTGATAGACTGAAGAGGGGATATCCTATAGAGAGGTAGGCCTATGGGAAGGGAGTTGCAATAGTCAAGGCGAGAGTAAACAAGGAAATTAATGAGTAGCTTGATGGTTTCATTAGTTAAAAAGGGGTGAATTTTAGAGATGTTATGGAGATGAAGTCTACAAGCTTTTGACAGTGATTGGATGTGGGGCGGAAAGTACAGGTTAGATTCTAGGATTACACCTAGTACCCTGGTGTGAGCAGAGGGACTGATAGTTGCATTATTGATCTTGATGGAAAAGTCATGAAGGAGGGTACGAGCAGGGGTGAATATTATCAGCTTAGTTTTAGAGAGATTTAGTTTAACCACTTGCCTACCAGGCACTTTTACCCCCTTCGTTCCCAGGCCAAATTTCAGCTTTCAGCGCTGTCACATTTGAATGACAATTGGGCGGTCATGAAAAATTGTACCCATGTGAAAGTTTTTGCATTTTTTCACTCAAATAGAGCTTTCTTTTGGTGGTATTTAATCACCGCTGGGTGCTTTATTTTTTGCACTATAACCCAAAAAAGCGCTAAAAAAAAAAAAAGAAAAAAATTTTTTCTTTATTTCTATTATAAAATTTTGCAAACAGGTAATTTTTCTCCTTCACTGATGTGCAATGATGAGGCTGCACTGATAGGCAGCACTGATGGGTGCTGATGAGGTGGCACTGATGCTGCTGCACTGATATGCAGCAATGATTTGCACTGATAGGCGGCACTGATGGGCACTGACTGGCAGCACTGATGGGCATTGATGGGTGACTTGATGGGCGGCACTGGTGGGAGGCACTGCTGGGCACTGGTGGATGGCACTGCTGGGCACTGATCATCAGGGTTATCGGCAGTACTTTCTTCATGCTGTGACAGCGTGAGGAAAGTGCTGCCAATAACAGGCAACTGTATTTACTCGGTGATCTGCTGTGTCATTGGGCACACCTGATCACGTGGTACAAGGCTGCTGTGATTTGATTGGCCTATTACCTCATGACTTGATCAGCTGTGTCTGTAGGACACAGCGATCACAGAGATCGCAGGGTGTGCGCCACTGGGGGACATGCGGTAGGGCGCATTCTGGGAGGATGTCATATGATACCCTCCCAGCACTGGACAACCGCGCTGTAGCCGTCATTTGGCTATAGCTCGGTTGGTAAGTGGTTAAGGAAGTGATGTGACATCCATGCTGATATGTCAGTTAGTAAGTGAGAAATGCGAAAGGATAAATTCTTTGTCATGCTATCTTCAGAGATGTTTTGCTTCGTCTTATTCCTGTCAAATAGACAGGAAGTGAAAAAATGAATCTATGAAACAAGGATACAGAAAGCAGTTAAAAAAATCACTGAGAATGTATTCCTTACATGCAAAATGTTTGGCTGGAGTTGGACTTTTATGTAAGTTTTGTATTAGAGTTTACCAGAACTGTTATGTAGTCAACAGGTGATATAGGCCATGGGTAAAATCATGGCAATGATCAATAAGAAGAGCATCTGAGGCTTCTTCTTTTAGTGAGGTGTCCCAGAAGAAAAAAAAGCTTCTTATTGGTCAGTGGTCACGTGGTTGCACAGACCAATGAGCACTTGCCATTGCGAGCATTATGATGGACACTCACTTCGGGACTGTGTATTGTGGTGTATGATGTATCAACAACTACAGTGACGTGGGGTATCAAAGCCATTATATGCAAAGCGGGGTTCAGAAGGGTGGCCCAGATATTTGGAGTTAGTTCACTTTTTCATTTTTCAAAAATGTGAACTTACCTTTTAAGTGTTAGGATCATGAATTCTGAATATACTAGTTGCTTGTTATGGGACAGAGACAAAAATAACTGATGCATTAGAAGTGATAGTGATAGTGACTATCACTTTTGATGCTAAGAAGTGAATAATTGTGGCCTACCTACTTTTCCCAGTACATGCTTTCTTAACCACAAGCCTACAGGGCACTTATACCCCCTTCCTGCCCAGGCCAATTTCCAGCTTTCAGCGCTGTCGCACTTTGAGTGACAATTGCGCGGTCATGCAACACTGTGCCCATATGAAATGTTTATCTTTTTTTTTTGTTTGACAGATAGAGCTTTATTTTGGTGGTATTTAATCACCTCTGGGTTTTTTATTTTTTCTTAAACAAACCAAAAACCACTGAAAATTTTGAAAAAAAAGTTTTTTCTTAGTTTTTGTTATAAAATTTTGTAAATAAGTGATTTTTCTCCTTCCCTGATGTGCGCTAATGAGGCTGCAATGATGGGCACTGATAGGCTGCACTGATGGACACTGATCGGTGGCACTGATGGGCACTGATGAGGAGGCACTGGTAGGTGGCACTGATGGGCATTGACAGGCATCACTGATGGGCACTGAAAGGCAGCACTGATACATGGCACTGATAGGCGGCACTGATTGGCACTGATAGGCGGCACTGGCTGGCACTGTTAGGCAGCACTGACTGGCACTGTTATGCGGAACTGACTGGCAGCACTGATAGGTGGCACTGATTGGCATTGATATGTGGCACTGACTGGCACTGATGGGTGACACTGAAAGGCAGCTCAGATGGGCACTGATATGTGGCATTGATGTGCACTGGTAGGCACTGATATGTGGCACTGATGTGGCACTGATGGGCACTGGCACGAGGCACTGATGAACATTGACACAAGGCACTGATGGACACTGACAGATGGCACTGCTAGGGCTACACTGATCATCAGTGCCCTGATGATCAGTGTACATGTCCCCTCCGTGGAAAGCCAATTACCCGGCTCTCCTCTCCTCTCGAGCTGTCAGCGTGACAGCTCGAGAGGAGAGAAATGCCGATAACCGGCATTTCCCTGTTTACATGTGATCAACTGTGATTGGACACAGCTGATCACATGACCGAGCCGACATCTTCGGCTCTTTTCGTGATCGGTGATCCGCTGTGTCCGAGGGACACAGCGCACCGCCGATTGCCGCGCTGCGCGCTCCCTGAGCCGTGCATGCGCGGTGAGAATGGGAGGATGTCATATGACGTCCTCCCAGAACAAGAGAACCACCTTGCGTCCATCATATTACTAAACGGCGGGCGGGAGGTGGTTAAAATACATGTTAGGTAACGAATGAACCTGTGCAACTTATATCTCAATAATTAGATGCATGGGTTGACAGAACAAATTTGCTCTCACAGTGATAAAAAGTAACATTAAAAATATGTAAACCCAAAATGTCATATTCCTGATATGTGCCTGCTGTACCATGTACTTAAATGAAAAAGTATCCTGTTATCTTTGTATTGCTTCCTTTACGTGAAAAACCTGATGTTCCTGTCAGTCCCGCTGCTTTCCTAATAAAAACCTGATTAAGCTGGATAGCACACTGAGGTCAGTTCTCTAGTTATTCTGGGAAATCAATCTGCTCTCCCCCCCCCCCACACACACATAACATTTCACTTGGAGGATCAGCGTACTACTGTTTCTCCTCCCCCAGCTCCTATGCAGCTGAGAACAGAGGGAATGTGATCACTTATCAAAAAGGGAAAAAATTATTTATACACATTTTTTTTGCCTTTAATTTTAAACTGAATAGGTTGGCGAGGGTTTACATACAGTTTAAACAAAAGACAAAAAAGACATACATTATGCACTAGGGGACCATCCACAGTACATATACTGCGAGAAAGCAGCCCCTGTGCCCAGGATTACATATATATACGTGATCCTGCATTTCCGGGTAGGGGGCGAGCGCCCGCCCTACCCGAGCCATCGATTGCGGCCCCGGGAGTCAATCACTGGGTCCAGGTGGGTAATTACCTGCCGGAGCCCGGTGATTGCCGGCAAACACCGACAGGGAGGACGGCTGCGTTTACAATGCAGCTCTCCTCCCTGTCAGTTTGGGCACACTGCTCGGAATGGCTGAGCACAGCCGTACTGATCAATGTGCTTACAGTGAAGCACACAACCCCCGCCCCCTATTAAAACACTCCCATCACACAGTTAACCCTTTGATCGTCTCTCATTGTTAACCCCTTCCTCTCCAGTGCCATTAGTGCAGTGTCAGTGCTTTTTTTTTAGCACTGATCACTGTATTGGTGTCACTGGCGATGTCAGTGACCCCAAGTCAGGTCCCCCCCAGTGTCAGAATGTCCGCTGCAGTCCCACAGTCCCGCCATAAGTCGTTGATTGCCGCCATTAGTCTCTGATTGCTGCCATAAGTCGCTGATCGCCGTTATTATTAGTATAAAAAAAAATCCAGTATCTATACCGCCATTGGCAAATGCTTTAACGTTCGCATAAACCAATTAATTTACACATATTGAGATTTTTTTCTAGCAAACTCATGTCGCAGAATACATTTTGGCCTAAATTTATGATGAAATGTGACTTTTAATTTTTTTTACTGGGCATGTTTTATAGCGCAAAACATTAAAAATGCACAGGCGATCAAATACCACCGAAAGAAAGCTCAATTCGTGGGGAAAAAAGGATGTACATTTCATTTTGGTGCAGTGTTGCATGACCGCACAATTGTCAGTTAAATTAACGCAGCTCCGTAACACAAACCACTTCTGTAAGGGAGCCCATATTTAAGGATTCATACTGTATACTGGTACTAGTTCATAAACTGGTAGTTCTGTATTCTTGACAGCTCTATATATAGACTGCAGCAGTGGAGCTGATGTATGAAACCAAGAAACTGGCATAAAAGTTGTTGCCTATGACAGCAATTGAGTTTTAACGTTGAAATGAAATATAGAATATAGTTGCCATGAGAAACAGTTGCATTTTTAATTTCAGATTTGATAAATCATGATGAGTGGCTCTTTGTTCTGTACTATTCTGCATTACATAAGAACCTACATAAAAAACAATTCAAACCTTCACTGATTTTGTAAACAGCAATTATGTTCTATACATTCTTGGACATCACCAGGGGCGGACTGAACATTTGGAAACTCGGGCACTGCCCAAGGGCCCGGGGTCAGTAGGGGGCCCCATGAGATTCCCCTGGTACTTTTTTCATAGGCTTTTTTGAATTTGAGCAAGGACACAGGGGCCCCATGATCCCCTATTGCCCGGGGGCCCCATGAGTTGTCAGTCCGTCCCTGGACAGCACTAAAATGATTCTGAATAAATGTTTTAAACCATGGAAAAATCAGCTAATGTATTAAAGATGTCAGAATAGTCAGATATAAAAAACTCAAATTAATGTAGCAATGTAATCATTAGTACAATTCTTATTTTTTATCTAATAAGATGCAATGTAGTACCTAATTTTGACCTGATAACAGCAGCAGTTGGTGATGGTACAGCAGTGCTGGAGTATGAGAGGAGAACAAGAACAAGGGACCAATCTATTCATGTGCCTACAAGAAGCATGCTGATAGGAGGAGAGAGCAGAATAACACAGAGAAGAGTTTATCACTGTGTTGCTTCTTCTTCACTGTCTAGTCACAGACCGGGGCAGATCCAGGACATCCTGTACTCAAAGAAGTGGGTTGAATGAAGCTCATCATAAGAGTGAGATCATCTAGCAGCAGACAGGCAATTCAGGGGAAATCTCCGAATGGAATCTAAATATTGCAGCAAAGTGCTGCATATCTTTAATTGGCCATTCATTTTTATCTGGTAATATTTAGCTTGAATCCTACTTAAGGTTTTGTTCCTACTTATAACTAGGCCATTATTCCTCACTGCCTAGAAGGATGCTCTAGGCAATCCAAGAATACATGCATCCACAAATAAGATACATCTACAATATTACTTTTTTCTCTAGCTTGATCTTTCACGATAAGAGCAGCTCCGAATCATTCTTTCACAATGTCTGTGTCACACTTCCATTATTAGTTCAATACCTGTATCTTTTTTTTTTATTTCTCATGTTTTCCTTTATTTTCACTTGCATCCATAGAATTGATTTAAATGACAAAATGTACTTTCTTTTTTTTTTAATGATACTGATTCTGTGTCCCTCATTGATCAAAATATTGAGATGCAAGGAAATGATGACAGCTAAACGGGAACTTGACAGAGGTGACTGCTGTTTGCATTCCTTTTAGCAATTCCATATATTCTACTTTCACATCTGCACTTTTCTTCTGTGCCACTATTATATAGCCATCTTGCCCCAGAATTCTCAGCTTTCATTTTGTGATTTAGCACAGGAAATCATGTGTCGTTTTTAAAAAAGACTACAAATTGTGCTTCGAGATAACTAATCACCAGCACTTGGAACAGACAATATTTTCAATGTTTGCTCTGCTTCCACAGAGATTTTATCAATCCCTAACAGCATTTTAAGCAGATGGTTAATTGTTACAAAACTGCATATAGCTATTTTCCAAAATGTGCATACTTCTGATAGCATATGGCTTCTATAAATCCCAGCCTACATTTATTTTACTAGAAGGACAGTTGGGAGCCTTATGCAGCTTCTGCCACCATCTTTCTTGTCTTGGCACCTTTGATGAAGTTTCAGGAATGATGATGCTCTAGAACATGTAGAATTGGAGGAATATAGTATTTGCATATGCAGCAGTGTTAATGAGGTTTGTAGGTTTGCATTAATAACACCTAACATGTATGTTTTTCTATAATATCTGTAATATCTCAACATACAGAGGCAACTTAGATAAATAAAACAGCAGTTTTAAGCAACAATGAAATATAAATGAATGAGCTATTACTATTCAACAATTCAGCAAATGTTGCATTTGTGCTAAAATTAAAGGAGAAGTACAGCCAAATCTCGTTTAGCTGTACTTTCCCTGTGGATCACAGGAGTGCAGTTTGTTCTGCACTCCTGTGACCTGTGACCAGTTTTCAGCTGACAATGGGTTGAAGCCTGCTATCAGCTGGCATCACTCTAGAATGAGCAAAGATCTGAATTTTACAATCAGGATCAGGGGCGGACTGACAACTCATGGGGCCCCCGGGCAATAGGGGATCATGGGGCCCCTGTGTCCTTGCCAAACTCACCTATGAAAAAGGTACCAGGGACATCTCATGTGGCCCCTTACTGACCCCGGGCCCTTGGGAAGTGCCCGAGTTTCCAAATGGTCAGTCCGCCCCTGGTCAGGATCCATCCAGATCCATGGACCAGCACCTGGCTTAGCCTCTCAGCAATTTGCTGAGCCTGAGCCAGTTGCTCCTGCCCCTCCACAGCCCAGCACTCCAGCAAATGGGGGGGGGGGGGGGGACAGAGCAGAGAGCGAAGACAGTCACCAGCTCTCAGGTCATGGAGAACTGAGTAATAGCAGTCTTTGATCGCTCAGTTCTCAGTGGTAGAGCCGGTGGGGGACAGATCCAGGAATGGACCCATGTTGCTTTCACCTGGGTAAGTATAATTACAATTATAATATATTATTATAATAATAGTAAAAAAACAAAACAAAACCCAAAACTTCTCTCTTAACTCAGTTTACCTTATTGCAAGTTTTGTGTAATCCCCAAGTGGTAGGAATAAAATTCCTGATGCTACCCCCTATGCTATGGGGTCTCCCCCTTTCTTCTTTCTGTGTTGCTATTAACCCTCAAACTTCCAAAACAGGTTTGAATATGAATGATGGCTGTGACAAGCTTTTTAGCACTTTTTTTTAATTTTAAACATCACGCTTTTTATAAGTAAGATACAACAAGGAGGTGCAATGGGTGTGTTTGGGAACACCTAATAAGCACGGGTTTTCAGATCACCAGAATACCAATAAAAGGTGAACTTGCACAGTAAATTTTCTGCAAGAGGCAGCAAGAGACCTGTGGTATGTTTTCCAGCATCACAAGATGGTACTTTCCAGGATTACCAGATTACAAAGGGCAAAGTACTGCCTATTTCAGGATGGAAAGCTAAAGGCTGCAAGGCACTTTTCTTGGATGTATTTCAAGATTAATCTGTTTTGTGAACTTTGGCAAGGCTTGGGTCTCTGTGCTGAGGAAATCTCCTCCCTATCCCCAGAAGACAAGTGAAAGACTGATGGAAGAAGCCAATCTCCTCCTTTTAACCTGCCTTTATGTTCCCCATATGTGCTCTTGTAGTGTACTTTTTATAGGACTATTCAAAGAATTCTCAAGTTGGTGACAAGATTTACATTGACCTGCATGAAGTAGGTAGAGATCTCCAAGTAGGGGATACCTAAAATGACTAAATGCAATCCACAAATGGCTGATTCACTAAAGGCATCATGAGATTTTAAAATGTAAAAATAGAAAATCTTAAATCCTTTAGGAAATAAACCCAAATATTCAGTTATATATAAAAAAATAATAAAAGACTATTTTATTTGTGTTTGCACTCTGCTTATGCTTGTCTACATTTTGTTTTCACATGCACTGTATAACAGAAAAGCTAGTGATCCACATCAGTGAGCAATCTATTACAGCACAGGATTTCTGTGTACGGTCAAGACGAAACTATTTGTTGCAGACTGTGATCTGAGCAATACTTAGAAATATGTATTGATAGTCAATAAAACAGCTTCTGGGGGTTCTGGAGTTTAAAACTTCCAAACAGGGCCTTTGAAGCTACAGCTAGACTCTGTTCATGCTTCTGTAGATTGGTGCAGCTAAAATCTAACTGGACCCTCTTAACTTATTACTGTAATTTAGTCAGGCTGCACATAGAGTTATAGTATATGTGAACCGTCAAAACAACTCATTCAGTATAAAACAAAAATGAAAGGCAAAACATTATATATATATATATATATATATATATATATATACATCTATATACACACAGTGCTCAGCATAAATGAGTACACCCCTTTTGAAAAGTAACATATTAATCAATATCTCAATGAACACAAGAACTATTTCCAAAGTTTTGACAAAACTGAGTTTTATAAAACATTTGTTTAGCTCATTACATGAAAGTAAGGTTAATAGTATAGCTTAGATTACAAAATCTTCAGTTTTACTCAAATTAGTTGATGCAAGAATGAATACACCCCACAACAAAAACTACTACATCTAGTATTTTGTATGACCTCAATGATCTGTAAGGACAGCACCAAGTATTCTAGGCATGGAATGAACAAGTTGGCGACATATTGCAACATCTACCTTTTCCCATTCTTCAAGAATGACCTCTTTTATAGCCTGGATGCTGGATGGAGAGTGATGCTCAACTTGTCTCTTCAGAATTCCCCATAGGTGTTTGATTGGGTTCAGATCAGTGATACTGAATCTCTTTCACCCTGTTCTTCTTCAGAAATGCACCAGTGGCCTTAGATGTTTGTTCTGGATCATTGCAATGTTGGAAAAATGCATGACAAGTATTTTGTAGTATAGTATTCCATAGAAAATGTTGATTCTGAAAGGTTTTCTGACAAATCTGTTGGGGTGTACTCATTTATGCTGAGTACTGTGCATGTGTATATATATACATAAAAAACCTTTTTAAAAATGATCACATACCTTCTGTTTTTACCTGCATTAGAAGCTCAGAGAACTAGGGTGGAGAAACAGCAATACACTTATCTTCCTAGCAGGGGCAGACTGACAACTCATGGGGCCCCCGGGCAATAGGGGATTATGGGGCCCCTGTGTCCTTAACCAAACTCAAAAAACCTATGAAATAGGTACCAGGGGCATCTCATGGGGCCCCCTACTGACCCCGGGCCCTCGGGCAGTGCCTGAGTTTCCAAATGGTCAGTCCGCCCCTGCTTCCTAGTAAATGGCTATGCAGGGGGGGAGGGCATGTCAGTACAAATCTGATCATTGGAGAGGAGCAGGCTGGGTTCACAGCACAGCCAGAAAACTAACCCTGCAGTTTTTAATAGGACAGCAGAGAGACTGGCAGGAACACCAGGGATTTCACACAAAGGAAGCAATAAAAAGAGAATAGGGATGTAATACTCATACGCTGCCACAAACAGATCATGAGCTGCCGCAAGCATCTGAATGTGTTGCCACATCAAGAGACCAAGCAAATTAAAATAGTGCTGTGCTGCCCCTAGTGAACCAAAAGCAAACTGCTTATTCTAAGATAAATAAACACCCCC